CCAACGATGCCCTTGAAGTGATGTCCCAGTGCCTGGAGGCCGTGCGGATCTGGATGGGGAGAAACGGGCTCAGGCTCAACCCATCCAAGACTGAGTGGCTGTGGTTTCCGACGTCCCGATATAGTCAGCTGGCGCCATCGCTGGCTATTGGGGGCGAATCATTGGCCCCCACGGAAAGGGCTCGTAACTTGGGCGTCCTCCTGGACTCACGGCTGTCTTTAGAAGAGCACTTGACGGCCGTGACCGGGAGGATTTTTCATCAGGTTCGCCTGATCCGCCAGTTGCGTCCCTTTCTAGATCGGGACTCGCTACGCACAGTCACTCATGCCCTCGTCACCTCTCGTCTGGACTATTGTAATGCTCTCTACATGGGGCTCCCCTTGAGGTGCACCCGGAGGCTCCAACTGGCGCAGAGTGCGGCCGCGTGGGTGATTATGGGAGCAACATGGAGCTCCCATGTAACACCTCTCCTGCGCGAGCTGCACTGGCTCCCGGTGGTCTTCCGGGTGCGCTTCAAGGTTCTGGTTACCACCTTTAAAGCGCTCCATGGCTTGGGACCTGGTTACTTACGGGACCGCCTACTACCATCAACAGCCTCCCACCGACCAGTACGCTCCCACAGAGAGGGGCTCCTCCAGGTGCCGTCGGCCAAACAATATCGGCTGTCGGCCCCTAGGGGGAGAGCCTTCTCTGTGGGGGCACCGACGATCTGGAATGAGCTCCCCCCAGAGATACGGAGGATTCCGGATCTGCGCACCTTCCGCCGCGAGTTGAAGACGCTTTTATTTCATCAAGCTGGCCTTGCCTAAATCTTCTCCCTTCTAAGTGTAAATTCTAAATTTTTAATGGATTTTAAAATATGGGTATTTTAAATTGGGTATTAATTCAGCCAAATTTATTTAATTCATTTTATTCGATTTTAAATTTTGTATATCTATGTGTTTTATTTCATGGCTGTGCACCGCCCTGAGTCCTTCGGGAGTAGGGCGGTATAGAAATTCAATAAATAAAATAAATAAAATAATAATAAATTATATTACAAGTTTTTTATGCTGGTCACTGACCAGAATTCTGCAGGTTAACGAAGTAAATTACTATTTCAAATATCATAAAATAAAATGCCAATGTAAAATTGTAACTACATCATTGAAGTAACCAAGGCAGGTTGAGCTTTACAGATAGCATAACAAGATGTTGCCACGTTCAAGGACACTGAATCATACAGGTCTGACAGGAGTAGCTGTACATAAAATAAATCACAACTGTCAGTACTTCACCAAATAGGGAGTTATAAATGGCCCTTGTTTCCTTACAGCAAGCGCAATTGTAAGAATGTAAATTAATCCTGTGGTTCGGTTAAGATCCGAATTCTGTAATGTGGAAAAGTATGAAAGCTCTTTGTGTGTTGTTCAACTTGACTTAACCATGAACTGAAGGCAAGGCTGAAAATCCAGAGTCGTCTTATCTATTATAAAGACTTTTGATTACACTCATATCTGTTTTCTCTTCCCCAATATTTATTGCAAAAATGGGCATTTTGTGAGGACTCCAGAACTGCATCCCGAATTACTGAATCTGCATCTTGCAAAAACTGTGCAGAAATATCAATGCTTAGCAATTTCTTTTAGTCTATCACCACCATGGTGGCGCAGTGGTTAGAATGCAGTATTGCAGGCTACTTCTGCTGACTGCCAGCTGCCAGCAGTTCGGCAGTTCGATTCTCACCGGTTCAATGTTGACTCAACCTTTCATTCTTCCAAGGTCAGCAAAATGAGAACCCAGGTTGTTGGGGGGCAATATGTTGACCAGTGGTGGGATTCAATATTTTTTACTACTGGTTCTGTGGGCGTGGTTTGGGCATGGCATGGCTTGGTGGGCGTGGCTTGGTGGGCATGGCAGGGGAAGGATACTGTAAAATCTGGATTCCCACCCCACTCCAGAGGAAAGTTACTGCAAAATCCCCATTTCCTCCTAATCAGATGGGACTTGGGAGGCAGAGAATAGATGGGGGCGGGGCCAGTCAGAGGTGGTATTTACTGGTTCTCCAAACTACTCAAAATTTCCGCTACCAGTTCTCCAGAATTGGTCAGAACCTGCTGAATACCATCTCTGATGCTGACTCTGTAAACCGCTTAGAGAGGGTTGTAGAAAGCACTGTGAAGTGGTATATAAGTGTAAGTGCTATTGCTATTTCTTCCTTTCTTGACTTTGCCATCACGACTAGCAGGTATTCAACCTTATTTCTCTCTGCTGCCATCTCTGGAAAAAAAGAATTCTCTTTCTAGAACAAGAGAACTAGTTTCCTGAGTCCAGAATCTCTATGCCAACCTGCAAAACAACTTCAGGTGAAGCCATACTTACTTCTGCTTCGTTTCTTGGTTGCCATTCAAGGGGGAGGGGTGGGCAAAACTCAGGAATGTGGTGCCTCAGCTGATTAACCATAACCTCTACCAGCCAGTGTGAGGACCAAGGCCATGTCAATGGACACCTGTTGAAGTTGAGCGGGAACCTACATCTGGACTGATTGGCTCATGTGACCTGAGAGATATAGGCGGGTGGGGAGGTCCCATTGTTTTAACTATCCCTAAGCGCGGGAACAATTTAGAACTAGCTTCACCTTTCTAAGTGCCGATATGATGTACTCAATAAAGGATCTCTTGAACTTGAACAAAGCATCAGAGTCCTGACTTCCCAGAGTTCATTTCTCGGAATGATGACACTCTACATTGGAGGGAAGGGGGCTATTTTGATTTTCCAAGCTGTTCCTAACCACAAATATTGGGCATTATATTTTAAGGGGAGGTAGTAATGCTGAACATCTGCTGAGTCAGAAAAGACATCCTCTCCTGGGGCACCATGTGGTAAGGCCAACACCTAAACTGATTTCATAATGATGTCAATAGCAGTGTATGAAGAATTAAGGACACTATTAACAATAAGAGTGCTTGTACACACTGGTTTCCTTGTAGCAATTCTGAGACAGGACAGTGAAGTACGTTGTTATGTTGATGAATTATTGACATATGCTAGGAAAAGAAATAATCAAGGGGAGGGGAAAACAAGATTTAATGTAAAAGTATCAAATGCCTATTTTCCATTTTGCTTTTGTTTCCTTACTTTTTAACAGAAATGAATGAATTTTCCAGGCACTGTAAATCTTGTGGAAGCAATCACCAAAATTGGGGAAAATAGGTTAAGGTCTTCGGTGCTCAATAATTTAAGCTATTTTTTATATAAAGTACCTATGGCATTGCTGATTTTTGACAGAGATTTAAACAGAATTAGGTGGGGTTTCTATTTATTTATTTTTATCCTGCCTTTATTATTTTTATGGGTAACTCAAGGTGGCAAGCATACCCAATACTCCCTCCTTCTCCTGTTTGAAAGTTTAGGGGCCAAATTAGTTGGAAAGGATATCTCTGAGGAGGGGTGTCATTCTGCAAGCCTCTATAGACAGGGGATAATAAAACAACTTTATTTACACCCTTCATTATTTGGTGCCATTTTCTATACTATTTATTTATTTATTTATTTATTTATTTATTTATTTATTTATTTATTTATTTATTTATTTATTTAATTTATATACCGCCCTACTCCCGAAGGACTCAAGGTGGTGAACAGCCAAAAGATAAAATACACATAGTAGTTGCTGATTATATACACATACTTAACCTCTTCTACACACTTACAATTACATAATAAATTACCCTGTTTCCCTGAAAATAAGACATCCCCTGATAATAAGCCCAATCGGGCTTTTGAGCGCATGTGCTAAAATAAGCCTCCCCCCCAAAATAAGCCCACCCCAAAAATATTTAAACACAGAGCTGGAGTTCAGGTAAGATGGCAAGAGGAGCCCCATCTTGTTTCACGCACCCCAAAATAATAAGACCTCCCGAAAATAAGGCCAAGTGCTTATTTTGAGGTTCAAAAAAATAAGACAGGGTCTTATTTTGGGGAAAACACTGTACATATATTGTATCTTGTTTCAGTCTACACATCCTTGTTCTTATGTGTTCTGACTTCCATTCCTTACGTCTAACCATTGGTAAAATCTGTTCCAAATCTCATAGTATTCTGTCTCTCCTTTATTTTTCAGTTCTAGCGTGAGTCTATCACATTCTGTACAGTCAAGTATTTTCTTTGTTATTTCCCTTTCTTTAGGTATGTTTTCACTCTTCCGTTGTTGGGCAAAACCATTCTCGCTGCTGTTATGATATGCAGTGTTAAATATGTTAACCCTTTACTTAGACCTTCTTTTATAATTCCTAATAGGAATAGTTCTGGTTTAAGTTCCAATCTCTGTCTGGTCATTTCTTCCAACCACATTAGAATCCTTTGCCAGTATTCTTTTGCTTCTCTACATGTCCACCACATGTGGTAATAGGTGCCCAGTATTTGATCACATTTCTAGCATTTAGGTGATAAATTTTTGTACATTTTGGCTAGCCTAGCTGGTGGTAGGTACTACCTGTAGAACATTTTATATAAGTTCTCTTTGTACAATGTGGCCAAAGTTAATTTCCTGTTTCTTTCCCAAAGTTTCCCCACTTTTCCAATTCAATATTGTACCCAAAGTACTTTGCCCATACCACCATCGTCTCTTTAACACACTCTTCCTCCATCTTTTATACAAGATATTTTAATGACACCATTAAACCCAGAGATACTATAGATCTCTCTATGGAAGGCTCTTGGGATTAGGTACCAAAATAGTTTAGATAGGAAAATATTTTGGATGTGGATCCATGGATTGTGAAAGAGAAAGCAAAGGAGTTTGAAAGAAAGGCTGAGCACTGGAATTTGAATAGACACGATGTTATGAAAGAAGAATCTTACTAGCATCTTAAATTTAGACTCGGCTATTGAAATTTTAACTACCAAGTTCTTGACTTACAGCCATTTGTTTAGTAACTGTTCGAAGTTACAACATCACTGAAAAATTGACTTATGACTGTTTTTCACATTTACAATTGTTGCAGCATCCCAATGGTCATGTGATCAAAATTTGGACACTTGGCAACTGATCAGAGGTGGGTTTCACATAATTTTATCACCGGTTTGCGTGCACCGAAAATGTGCAGTGTGCATGCGTGCTTGCTTGCTTCGCTCACACACACGCCTTCCACGCATGCGCTTTACTCACACGCGCGGCTTGCACGCATGCGCGTGGCTTAGAAAATGTGGCTAAATAGGAGCTCACAGCGTTGGGCCAGGGGGGCGGGCCACCCGCAGGTTACCACTACTGGTTCGCCCAAACTGGTCTGAACTGATTGAATACCATCACTCCAACTGATGTGTATTTATGACTGTTGCACTGTCCCGGGGTCATGTGATCTCCTTTTGTGTCCTTCTGACAAGCAAAGTCAATGGGGAAGCCAGATTCACTCAACAACCGTGTTACTAACTTAACAACTGCAGTGATTCAGTTAACAACAATGGCAAGAAAGGTCATAAAATGTGGCAAAACTCAGGTAAGTACTGTCTTGCTTAGCAATGGAAATTTTTGGCATCAATTTTGGTTGTAAGTTGAGGACTACTGTGTTTCCCCAAAAATAAGACCCTGTCTTATATTTTTTTGAACCCCGAAATAAGTGCTTGGCCTTATTTTTGGGAAGGTCTTATTATTTTGGGGCGCATGGAGGAAACCAGAGGAAATGGTGGGGACCGGCTGTGCATGCGTTTAAATATTTTCGGGGGGGGGCTTATTTTAGCACATTCACTCAAAAGCACAATTGGGCTTATTATCAGGGGATGTCTTATTTTCGGGGAAACAGGGTACCTATACAACCATGAAAAGATTTTGGATTTCTTGGGGAAAAACTAAGAGAAAAGAAAATATGGCAATGTTGATTATTGAGTGGGACTTCATGAACATCAGTGTTGGGCTAACAATCTCAAATATAGTTGAATCTGGTTGCATAAAGTTTACTTTGGGATTACAAACAAACATTAATTTGTAAAGGTTGTTTTTGAATTTGTTCAGAAATGGAGGAGTGTCTGAGTTATCAAATGGAAAATACATAGAAATAATCATCCATTTGGAGAGAGACAGATCTTACACATGTATGGTAAATGTTATTTTTACCTATCAATTTTACCCCTTCTCCATTTTGCATCATTTCTTCCAATTTTGCCCTAATAAATCAGCAAAATAAATAATAAGAAAGAAATGATGGAACTATTTTCTTTTTTTAAAAAAATAAATTATAAATTTAAGAAACCTTCCATCTCAGTTAATCTCCCATTTCACTGAAAGGCTAAAGATGGTTTTGCACACTTGTTTATAATCTAATTTTTGTCATTAATTCCCTCCCTCCTGATCATGAGTTCAAAGATTTTAACAGATGCAATGAAATCACTGTATGTACATGCTATACTGGCTTGAAAGGAAGAATTCCTCTTTGCAAAAGAACTGGCAGATTTATTTTGAAAATAGTTCTTCTCTTGTCTTAGCACTGAGTTATGCTTTAACTGCAGCTTTTGGGTCTTCCAATATTACCAGTGTCTCTTTGGTAGATGAACCAGTTGAAAGTGCCTTGCTGCTACAGCACTGCTCATCAATTGGGACACTGCTTGCTTTGAAATTACAGTGCTTTCTTCTCATTTTCTTTCCCCTAGAACGGTTAACTTTGGCAAGACAACAGTGGCATAGCTTTATCGATCTTGCTTAGAGTCCCATCACCAAGGAAATTTTTTTTGCTTCAGTTGTTGCAAACATAAAGGGGACTAACCCCACCTGAAGGTCAGGAGAAAATGTTCATTTCACGTTCAGATTCTAAGCTTTGAAATAGACTGTAAAACTATGTTAAGGTTAATGCCTCAGTTTCACAGCAAGGCACTAATTACACTGATTACCCATAATATATTTCAGAACTTATAGACCTCCAGAATTATTCATTTGTTTGAAAAAATTCACATGCCAATACCAATGGCTGTGGTTGGCTTACAAAATAGTAATTAAGCAATTAAACCATAAAGGCCATAAAAGACATAAATTGGGGGTGAAAAGTTATACTTTGGGTTTTCTCAACTCTAATAGTAGTTTGTTCCAAATATAAGCTCTCATTGAAAGAAGCACAGATATTGACTTAAATGGACGGTTGGTTAATAATCCTAAAAAGATACATTAGTGGTGATCCAAGAGTGAAATATGGTGGAGCAAGCAGTTCCACAGGAAAATTGTGCCTATGCTAAGATTCTGCATGCAGTATCGAGCACCTTGAGTTGGCACTACAGGTACCGTAGTTCTCGACTTATGATCACAACTGAGCTCAATTAAAGTTTCTGGTGCTACATGAGATATTTGCTAAGTGAGTTTTGTCCCATTTTATGACATTCCTTGCTGCAGTTGTTAAGTGAATCACTGCAGTTGTCAAGTGAGTAACTTGATTGTTAAGTGAATCTGGCTTCCCCATTACCTTGGCTTGCCAGAAGGTTGCAAAAGGGAATCACACGACATCGGGACACTGCAACCGTCATAAACACGAGTCAGTTGCCATGCAACCCAATTTTGATCAAGTGACCATGGGGAAGCTGCAACGGTTGTAAATGGTCATAAGTCACTTTTGACAGTGCCGTTGTAACTTTAAATGGTTACTAAAGAAATGGCTGTAAGTCAAGGACTATCTGTATTGAGTATGCTGGAGAACACTGCTGGGGAATTGTAGTTCAGCAACATTTGCCTGTTCATAGGTTTTTCATCCTAGTGTTCTGCCCCAGCTATGGACCCCAAAGACGCAGCACACACAAACTCCTTACAAAGCTTATTTACTCAAAATAACTTAGTCTTTATTATTTCAAAGGCTGTTAATGAATTGTCTTAACAGCCTACCAGAATTCTAAGATAAGGTAAATCACAGTCTTACTAGAGTTGGCAGAAAGCCCAGAAGCAGTTTTGTAGACACAAAAGAGAGTGAACTAAAGTTGTTCTCTACAGCTTGTTGCAAGCGGCATTCTTTCTTAAATAGGCTAAGGGAGTGGCCAATTAGCTCCAAGCCTTACTCTCGAGGAAACCTCCTCCTGAGGAACCACTCCTGCCTTTTGGCAGCTCTCCATGCCCGTGCATTGAGAAGAGGCTCCTCCTCTTCATCCTCTTCACTTAAAGGAGCTTCTGGAGGTTCTGAAGGCCCTGGCTGAATCCCTGCCTCTGGCACCACATCTTCTCCAGCCTCCTCACTGTCCGACTTGAGCGCCAGCTGCACAGGCATCTGGCACAGCACCACACCAGCCTCCTCCTCGTCGGAATCAGCTACAATCTGCGCAGCCTCTGGCGGGCCACAACACCTAGCTAGATACATGGATGGATATCATCAGGACCAACCTTAGCACCATGGGTGAAAACACTTAATATTACCTTTCACAGTGAGCTTAAGGCAGAGAATGCATTCTTCTCTAAAATTTATCTCAAGTTGCAGTTTGTGACTGGAGTTACACTACAGAAATCAGTGTTGTGGGTTGTTAGAGTCTCACCTGGCACAAGCAGTGGATGACTGTCTTTAAAATTATCTATGTGTATGCAAATGATGGATAGGAAGTTGTGGTTTAATCACCTTGCATCTTTTTTTTAAAACAACCCATCCTGTTTCTTTACGTATTTGCTATTGCAGACTTTTATCCCTACCTTCTGATTTGATTCAACATATCCAAGATGACTTTGCGAGTTTGTCACAGATATGTGACAAACCCATGTGCCCTGAAACCCTTGGATTTGACATCTTATTGCCTGAAAAATACTTGGTTTATTTTTCTATTTTACCCATCACAGATGCAGGTAGATGATGCAGAGGGAATGAATGGTTGAAAGTAGTTCACTTGGAAGATCCATGGCTGATTGGAGCTTTGTGTTTCAGCCTCTTCAGTCCAAGGTCATCCTCTTATAGGCTAAGCACACCAGCTTTCAGCTGCACAAAATGAACCTGTTAGGAATTTATGGGTTTCTAAATGCAGATTAATGTAGGATTGCAATTCTAGCTACATTTATCTGATGCAAAAACGCCCGTTGAACCCAGAAAATAGAAGATGATTTTACCATTCCAAGGTTTAATTGCACCTTGCCGCAGATTCTCAATTAAAATTGTAACAGGATGTGGTGATAGCAGGAAGTAACAATATCTACAAAGCTTACAGCAAAAAAACAACAACGTTTTCTTAGAAAACTTTTCCTTTCTACTAAGGGAGAACTGATCCTGCATGACTACAAAATGCAGCTTTGTAAAAAGAATCAAATCCATCTCCTTTTTGTCTATGCCTTCTTTAGATAGTTAATTACTCAATGCTTTCTCTCTGCTTATAGTGCACATATAAACTTAGTGTTGTGAGATAAAACTATAGTATTGTGCCAATATGAGAAATATGATGCAGCTGCAAGGCTTGTTGAGTAGGGTGCAGTAACTTCAGGAGGTTATATAGTATAAGTATATGCACCTAGTGTATATTTAATATATGCACAAACATAAATTGAAAAAAATAAATGCTTATTGTTTAAATAATCTAAATAAACAATAATAAACTGGTCCATAGCCAAAGGTCCACAACTCTAGGACCACACAACAGTGATGCTCCATGAATGGTTTCAAAAAACCCCACAGAGGACTTCATTAATTTTCAAGAAATGTTTTGTGCCCCTGCAAATGTAAAGTCAACAAAATTGTTGATTGTTCCAGGATTAATCACGGCCATGAACTTTATACCCAGTCAACCTGGAATTTGCATCCCTAGACATTATAAGAGCCAGAGGGACTTCCAGTTGATGTCACGGGGAGAACGGCTGGAAAATAGCAGAGCTCCGCCCGGGCTCCATGAAATGCAGCCAGCAACTGCTGGCTGGGAGACCGTATGGGGTTAAGCCTCTCTGGAGGGGAGGTGAAGAAAGGAGAGGTGCTTCATTGATCGCGAGGAAACTGCAATTTCCTCACTGATCTGAAGAAAGCTCTCCTGAAATGGCAGCAGGGGCAATGACCATTTTTGGTCAGTCACAAGCTGGGACAACTGGGACACTAAGATTTTATGCTGGAGTGGTGTGTGGACAGAG